AGAGTACCTAGGTATGTAGGTAGGTAGTGGCAGAGTTAGTGGCAGAGTTAGTGGCAGAGTTAGTGGCAGAGTTAGTGGCAGAGGGTTCAGATGGGTGGCAGAAGGATGCTACTTTAGGGTCCGTTCCATCCCTGTTTTGAACTTGCCGGCCCCCCTTGCAGAGCCCTCCAGTTCTTTATCAGGCCTCCCCTGAGCCCCTGCGCGATCCCCTGTGCAAGGTAACACTGCAGATACAGAATACCGAAAACGCACTACTATGTAAAACTGCGAACCCTTTTTCCTATTTTCCCTTCCATCCTACCAAAAATTTACCCGACTATCTAGACCTAACCTCATCTTGGACAACAATTTTATCTCTGTCTAGGTACAGGTAGTCAATATTGTAACAATGATGCATGCTCAAACTCTAGCACGAAAGAATCCTTTCTATTCCACCGAAGACAATCACCTCGTGTTCCGCTCATGTTGCCCTTCTCATTCTCGAATTTTATGTAAACAAACGGCAACACTAGGAGGTAGGTAGCTATCAAGAGCGTAGGTAACGTCGGCGCATTTAACGGTCTAAACGCTGACCTCTATGTGGCTCGAGCGAGTCATCTACCAGCCCCTTGTCCAAGGTCCCAAACCGTAAATTCGCAATGTTCCCCCCATTTTCAAGTTGCCAGGAACAGAAAAGAAAAGGGTCCAAGCTCCTGCTGCAATGCTACTCTGTCGCAAGGTTGATGATTGCGCTTGTTGTCGCGACGTTGCAGCACGTTAGTACTAGGTACAGGAAGGTCTTCGTAGGTGTGCAAGAACATCCAAACGCACTGGGACCAGCAATTCCAACGCCCATCTGCCGAAGGCTCCCTAATGGTTCATATAGAACTTCTACACCGATATCCTCCCACCTGGCACTTCACCAACCTTAGATAGACTTTATCACACTCAAGTACGTAACGATGAGGGGTGACGAGTTTTTCCGCACTTAAACGGCATGCGGGGTGCCATATCCCTATTCTTGGCTGCATCGTGATGGCTTCATCTGAGAGTCCAGATCACGGATCCGATGATCCTCTCGTCCCCACCGCTTATTTCTCCATCCACGACTGACATCTCACGGATACTGTTACGGTCACTTGACCACACGTCTCTGCAGGTCTCATCGTTACAGGATGCCGACGACCGAATGCCAAGAGTCCACTTCTATCCAGGAAATCTCCACGTTGGAAGATTATACTAGCGTTGGAGGTTCCAATCGCTATCTTGCATGTGAAGAAGTCTGCAGACCCCATAGCTATGTCACAACACGAAGACGAGCGCGGCGGAGGTATACATAGCGAAGAGGTATGTAAAGTCGATCATCTAGACCCTCCGCGCAGGGAAAGCCGACGAATGAAAGCTGCTCGTAGAATATGAATCTTGCTTCAGGTAAGATTACTGTCCGATGAAGAGTTCGCAGCTATTAGTGTCCCGGCGGTTCCCTCGACGTTCGCAATACCGGCGAACGTCCACTTTAAGTCAAGACGCTCCATAGCCGCTGTTCTGCAATGGGAAAGTGGAGAGTCGGAGAATTCATATGCAATATTTGTATGCGAACTCTTCTCAAAATGGGCATCATCTCCTCGTAATAACTGACCGCTATGACAGCGAGGCTAGTAAATCACGACGTCAGACAGACTTGAAACATACCAGTTATGGCATCGATGTGTATCACATTTTTATTTTTTATTTTGTACGAAAGATTTCCTAGTTAGCCTCGGACAAAATCTGAGGTCCCGTTTGGAGCAGGTCAGCGAATCTGAGGTCCCGTTTGGAGCAGGTCAGCGATGCCCTTCGCACAGTAATCTTCTCATCAACCTTGTCGTTCATGGTGGCACAGCCTTCAGATCCCTTGCCTGCCGCGTCACGTAATTCAAGTCTCCTCTTCCGCGAATAACTCCTATCTAACCCTTCTGCAGGACCATTGAGATCCACGAGGATTCCTTCTGCGTCCGGAAATTTGTTCTCGAGGGCTTTCCGTCCTAGATGCTGTCACAGACGGACGCCTTCGACCTCGGGCCGGAGCCTAGATTGTTTTGGCTTTCTTGGCTCTGACTCTTAGACATTTCTAGCTTGGCATGTCCCAGTCGCTTCAAGTCAGCACTTCGCGTGTGTCGGTTGGGCTGCAAAACGCCCGGATATGCACCAACCTTGATGCCGTCTTTCTTACGACGCGCACAGACTGACATGGCTTCACTAAGGGGGCCCGTTCAAAGTGCCTACTGTCGAGTGCCAACCACTCACATAAGGTACGTCAACTTCCTAATTCCGCACTTGTTGAACATAGAACTTTCCACAAGGTAGCGCATTCGGCTATAATAACTTGTGGATTTCGACTGAGACGAAATAGTTTCCCAAAGCACTCCCGCACAAATTATCGAGTGCGTCTCGGACAGCATAGATAACTACCAGGTTACCAAAAACTATCATCGGCAGTTACAGTGGCAGAGACAGCTTATATACCTGGGATAAATCTATGATGGACTCTCCCAGTTGTCTGGAGACGATTACGAACTCAGTAGCCGACAAGGTTGACGACAACGCAAAGTTTGCAAAGCACCTAGTAATAGCCCCGTAATAAGCAATACTATGAGCAGTCTCAGTGACCATACCTGAATCGAAGAGAAGAACGGCTTAGCCGTTGGAGATAGCCGTATAGGAAGTATCAATCCATTATTGCCATATCTCCACGGACAACCCATTGGGCGACAGCTTCTCATCTCTAATAGATTGCCAATCTCTTCAAGTATCCCGTCCACCAAACGAGTTAGGGTGTTTGCCTTATAGTCCATTCATCCCTCTTTTTATTATCACCCTATCCGGATAGCTTTTTCACGCTGCTGATGTTTGAAACCCTCCGTCCTTGATATCGTAGCCTTGGGAAATACAACCACCAGATACTTAGTAGCCAGACTAGAAGGTACTGACTGCACTTGCCAATCCAACTTAGTGCAATCATGAGTACATCTCTCTCAGTTTGATTGGCCTTGGCCGCTGCCAACATTAGACTAAAGATTGCCGGTCTAAATCATGATGCCGGCAAAACTCCTGCACGTGAAACCTCTGCAAGTAATCCCTCGTCACAGGCACCCAAGTGACCGGGCTGTTTGAAGGACGCAAAGTGGCGTGATTGCACTTGATATTCCGCACCAGTTTGTGTCATAACAAACGATCCTTCGAACAGAACGGGAAGGTCGTAGATCTAAGAACATACAGTGGCCGCATAACCAGACAAGAGATCTTCTTACAGGATTTTCAATCTAGAGTGTTTATAGCTACCTACCTAACCTATGTAAGTTTAACAAGTAGTTTCATATCTAACTAGGCGACAGGGTCGGGGGAAGTAGTTGGTAATTGGTCTACCCGAGAAATAGGGGTCTCGATGACATAATCATCCACAGTTTTTTCCAGCGGTTCGTAGGCAGCTTTCACATTGAAAGAAAAAAAAAACCCCCCAGGGAAATCGTAAAATAAAGTTGATCGTGCTTATAGGATCTGTCATGTAGAGGAGATGCGCTGATAGCCTATCAAGGCAGAATGGCTGAGAATTCGCATTTGATTAAGCCTGATGGCCGTGACCTCGTACTAGCAGATGGATGCGCAAATTCAAACACCTACCCTACCTAGGGTAGTTATGTAAACAAATCAGTTACACACAATCAATCGATTCTATCAGACCCCACAGGAGCGGTGAGCTGTATGATGAATGTCGTGGAGCCTGCTGCTGCTAAGTCGCCGCGGGTGATTTAAAGAATGCCACGGCCGAGTCCTGGATCTTCGATGGTGCCGAAGAGATCTTTCAGCTCGGGAATCAAATCGGCGAGACGCTGGGCCTTGTCGTCGCGGCGCCCGTCGGCAGCGTGGTCGTGCCGGCCATCGTGCGCAGCGTCAAGCTGGCGCAGCCCGAGGGCACTCTCGATATGGACGCGGCGCTGCGGCGGGCGCTTCATCGCTAATAGTACGCTGCTGATGGCATAGCAGAAGAACGTGCGCGAGGAGGGCTGGTTCGACAGTGTCAGTAGCGCGTTAACATGCCTGAAGTGATGTGCCTCCCCGGACCTGAGAACGCGATGGACGTTGACGGCCCCGCCGCCGATGAGAACGCTGTTTCGTTTGGACAGCAGCTGGCACAGGCTGCGAGTGTCCAAGAGAAGGGCTGGGTCGATGACGTTGGGGATTTCTTCAAGGGCGCCGCGGACACTGTCGGCGAGGTAGTGTCCGACAGTGCGAAGCTGGTTGGCCGGACGTTCGACGACGAGTCCTCGGCACATGTCTTTTGACCGCCGGAACTGCTCTCTATAGTTTGTGAATATACCTGGAAGAACACGGCGCTGGGAGCCGGGAGCATTATGTTTTGATGTATTTGATTAGCGATAGGCAACATGACTTCTTATTACTATGTCCTTCAAACCAAGTAACGCTTAGCTTAAATATCGTAGCCAAGTAAATGCTGGAAGAAATCACTACAACCTGTGTAGGTAGAGTGCTTGCTGGTGGAAGCTAGACTTATACTTCTAGCTATGGGTAGCGACTTGATTATTGAATGAATATAGGTAGGTGTTCACCCTTTTCTTCTTATTAGGTATTTTTCTATATGGCCGCTGTTGTTTTCAACGCTCATCAGCTTTCGCCTACCAATATTGGTCGTTTCTGTTGCAGTCACAAGAAGTTTTCTTCAGCCTATTGCCGGCCATTTCTCCGAGTTCTTTAGCATGATGAAACTACGAAGTAAGCCGTTTAGCGATAGATAGACGTGCGGGGTATTCCGAAAAGTGCAATTATGAGATGGTTTGACGTTAAGTACCTACTCTACGCAGGTTATCGTCGCCGCTCTTCTCGTAATATGTGGCGCGACGTTGACAAAACGTTCCAAAAAAACTGAAAACTCGCTGAAAATGAAGAGTAGGTCCCCACGGTAGGTAGGTAGATAGAAAGAGACAAATCGACGGAAAGTAGGAAAAATCGAAAAAGTAAAGTCGCGACAACGACAGGATTCGAACCTGTGCGACCGAAGTCATTAGATTTCGAGTCTAACCCATTAACCACTCTGGCACGTTGCCTTTACGGTCGATGGAAGACAAGTTGCTTATTGTTAACTATATACCAGAGGCAGGGGGTTATGCTTGATAGCAGCCAATCAGGGCTACGTCCCCCCTGCAGTAGCCACACCTACAAACACAACCAATAGCGTAGCTCGAATGATGTAGCTCCTTAATGATCTAATGATCACCATGTACCTCGTGGCCTGGGGACAGCAATCGGGATTTACCAATATTGCCTCCTTATGTAAAGGCAACCCGAGTATTTGGACATCGCTCGATCTAGAGAAAATACGTCATCGCCTACGTAGTTCTTGTTTACTTTCTTCAACCTCTCGTCATCGTCATAATAGAGGTTGAGTCCCTCGTGAGAGCGCCACCCCCACTCCCGCGGCGATGACATTGGAAAGAGTTTAAAGACTGATTCATCTAACGTTTTGGCATGTACGGATGGAAGGGCTCACAGAGGTACACGATGCTTGAATAAATAAAATTAATGTTGTGAAATGTAGCTAATGCCAAGCACCCGACCTCGCGGATGTAATAGTATCGACATCGCTCCGTAGCTGGAGAGTCCCGTTCTACCTCTATAATGCAATACATGCGCCTCTCTCCACGGGACCGCAGGATATAAACACCTGTCTTGAAACCCAAAAACCAGGCTTCATGTAAACACCCTCTCGCCATGCGTCTATCTCTCATCCAACTCATACCTCCTACGCGGCACTCTTCTTCGCATCCTCCACCATCCTCGCCATTATCCTCTCGTGAATGCCCTTCCAATTATTATCGACCTGGCCCTTCACGATCCCAACCAGCAGCTTCGAGCACGTGATCTCGCAGTCCTCCACCAGCTCCAGCTCTCCTTCTCCTTCCACGTCTTCTCCCCTTTCCCTCTCCCGCACGTACCACCGCGTCTCCATAACCACCGACAGCGGACTGCGTATGCGCACGAACAGCCCGTCCTTGACGTCGACCAGCTCCTCTTTACTGACGACGCTCGAGCTCCACACCGGGTTCGGCACGTGGTCGACGACCTCGTACACTTGCACGGGCGGGCTGCTCACGGGCTCCACGTCCCGCGGCAGCTGGTACGTGCGGCGCGCCGCGGCGGCGTCCGCGGTGCTTTGTTTTTCGTCTTCCGTCGTCGGGGTGAGTGTCCGGTGCGATACGTGGTGCGGGTCCGTCTTCAGGAAGAAGTCGTGGTCGTGGAGCAGCGCGACGGCGGCTTCTTTGGTGACTTTTCCTGCTGCTGGTGGTGTCGACGAGGATGAGGACGATGATGATGATGATGATGGGATTATAGACGAGTTGACCAGTTTGGTCTTGCCCGTGAAGACTGCTTGGCTTATTAGTACAGTGCATAGGTCGCTACCAAGCTAGTTACATCGTGTCATGTCATAGATAGTAGGCAGGGTTGGAGTTCGCGAATAGGAAATGCCGCGGGGGTGACAGGAAAAGTGGGAGTGACAGGTGGTATAGGGTTTTTTAACTTACACGACATTTTGACACTTTCTATATCAGGTATGTTCTATTCTTGGTTTTGCTTCTTTCGTTTCGATCTAGCTTGCTCAAGTAGGTGTGTGTCTGTAATTTGTCTGTAACTTCAGGTAGAAAAAACGAAGAGTCTAGCAATATCGGTAGTATTTCCTTTTTCTTTTTGAACAGAAAGTCCAGAGGCTGGTTGGTTTCGCAACTTTATCCGAGCGCGAATCCCTCGTCTTTTAATTATGTTGATCAAAGGGTCGTCGCTTATCTACCCGCCAGCCCAAGCGGCAATACCTTAGCGCTACCAGGAGGTTATTAAACCCCCCTGACATCATCTTCTTTTAGGAGGGGGCAAGGGGGGCAATAGTGCGCGCCATCGTATAACGCAACTCGCATGTTCCATCTCCCGAGGTTGCCGCATTGGGGATTGGGGGTTATAGCCAGCATAGCCTACAGTGAAAGGGGTCTCACCCAATAGCCCAGCTTTACAGCACGGTCCGCTTGCCGCGAAACCGCTCTAGGCACACTACCAAAACCCGATCACGTTTCAACCCGATGGAAAAAAGGGGGGTGAGGTCCGGGATGGTAACCAACGTGCCAGCCTTGCTACGGTCCTCACATAGGGTCCTATATAATCGGCTCGCCAACCTCGCTCCGATACTAATCAACCCGAGACAAAACCGTCGATCCTGTCCCCAAGGTGGCACGTATCAATGTCTATCACGCAGCTGAAAAGAAGGGGGGGAAACCAACACTCGGGAAAATCATTAGTAGTTGATTGATGCTATCAGAGCAGCTACGGAATACAATTGCGTTATATTCTCTCTCTGTCGCTCCTCTCGCCCCAGCCTAAGGCTTAAAGGACAAGCTGGTGTTTCCTAATAAGGGTATCTCAAGCATGACCGACGTCCCCAAATCGCGTCGCATTCTTCTAGAACTTTTTTGTATCGTATACCTACTAGCCTTCGAAATTCCCATCTTTACAAATCACAGAAAAACCACCACCTCTCCAGCATCTGGATCAACTAATCATCTAGGATCACGACTGCTTGGCTCCCCTGCGCTCTAGCTTTCGTGGTCGCCATGTTCCTATGGTACGAGGCATGCGCCGGGTTCTTAGCCTGCATCTGTGTCTTGGGTTGATTCTGCTTTACGAGTGTTGGAGACTGCATCGCGAGTCGTCTTATCGACTCGTCGATCGCCATAATCAGCTCTCCCACCCTGTTGTCCGTCTTGCTCGCGGCGCAGTCAACTAACGACTGCCACTGCCTGTCTTCGGCGTTAATGACTTTATCGAGCGCCTGCTTAAACTCATCATCAGGCCTCTTCACTGCTCCAGATTCCTCGCGGAATACGTGCCATTGGGCTTCTTCGTTGTGCTCGCGGAGTCGGATCTGCAACGACAACCTCCGCTGGGAGCTGATAACCCTATTAGGCCCAGGTAGATAGTAACGGAGGGCGTACCAGTCAAGATGGTATGCGAAGACTTCGACCCGGCCTTGGTTATTAGCTGCGAAACTGTCCCAGGCATCTTCAACCGCATCGAGGGCACGGTGTACTGGCAGAGTGCTCGTTAAGAAGAACGGCAGCTTCAAGCAGCGCAGCTCGGAATTTATCAGATGCCGGAAGTGATCCAGCGCGCGTAGTTGCGGATTATACTTCTCAAACGAAAGTTTGATAGCATCCGGATTAAGACTAAGCGTAGCCTTCCAGCGTTTGTTGTGCGACTGTTCTAACGTATCGCTCTCCGACTTTATCTCTGATTTTATCTCTGATCTCGATTTGTCGGTATATGTGATCACAACTTTAGTAAGCGTGATTTCTTCACATTGGATATCTCTATCGCTGCGGCGTATTGCATCGATGCAGTCGGCTAGTTTGTCAATGGCCTGCAGTCGATGCGCAAGCGTATCCAATATGCTGGTGCCAATATCTGCTTCCAAACGAAGTGCAAACACTCCAAGACGCCTGTCAAACGCCACATCGCGTCCAACGTGACCCTTAAGGAGCCCAAATCTCGAGGCGTCGGAGACCTTTAGTCGAGCATCCATAAATACGCGTAATGACTCCTTTGGTGATTTTTCCTTTGTCCCAGCGCCGGTATCAGCAACACCATCGCGGTCTAGTATCTGTGGCCTCCCATACGATTTGTGGGCGCCTTTAAACATAATCTGTACGAAATCGCGTGCCCAGCTTGCTGCCCGTTTCTCTGGTTCGCTTGGTCGCTTAAGAATGTCTGAAAGCCTTATGAAGATGTCGGGTACCTTCATGCTCGCGGGAAGAGAGTAATTAGTTCCATCATGTGTGACTTGTTTTATCCGCCGTTGGCGCAGAGTTCGTAGATCTGTTGTTTGCGAGATAAGTGCAGCGGTAAAGATAGTCAAGTCGGAGAAGAACTGGTCTCCAAGGTTTGGCGCATTAGAGCTGAGCGGTAGACTAGTGCACGAAGAAATCCGTGCCCCTTTGTCGTGGCTTTTGCTGTGGTCATCTTATTAGTCGTCATTCAGGATAGGGTCATATTCCAATACTCACATTTCCATCAACCACCACTTATCCCCGCTCAAACTCAAGTTTACCATTATATACCATTGATCTGTCCAGCCATTTCGCCTGAGCCATAGGAGCTGGCCTAGTTCCCGCAACTTGAGTGACTCCTTAATGGTATCCATTTTGGCGGGGGCTTTGGAGATAAACCATCCTGCGCCCTTTCCCCGTCGTTTGATCTCATCTGCAAAATACTGGCATCGAATGCCCTCTAAAGTAGAGAGCCCGTCAGGAACAGGATCCTTGGAGTTCCAGTTTAGCCTTTGTTCCCTAAGCCACGTAATATTTGTCTGCGGGCTCATCGAGAACATGCCGGTAGCAGAGCTGATACCGACGGTCATATGGTAACCATAGCCTAATTGCATCTTCAATGACGATTGTGTCGGGTCGTCTTTGTGCACGTCTAGGACGAGGCCGGCTTCCCGTTTGATGTATCGTCCATTCAACTTTAACTTAGAATAGATCGAGAAAAGGATGTGGTTGACGTGTCTTGCGATGACACGATTAAGCAAGTCCTCTGTCGAAATATCCGCCTCGTTTAGCGGAATATCCGCATCCATTACTTCCTTGTTATCCTTGAACCATCGCAAGGTGAGATGACTGCATGATTTCGGATCTTCGGCAGTATTGGCTTTCCTGCCGCTGTGGACGCCTAAAATGATCCAGCTCCGCGGACCCTCGGGCGGATAGCGACCAACCCAGTACTGAATGGACATGGCCCGATTCAGTCGCTCTATCTTGAGCGTGTCCACCCAGCGCCCCCTACTAAGTTCAAGAGCTTGGCGCATATACTCGGAAATCTTGTGAGTCAAAACAAACTCATGGAGATATGTAAAGCAGCCGTTCAACCCGTCCTTCTCTAGGGCTTCGTTGACCTTACCTTCCAAATACATTCTCAGCGCGTCTGATAGCTCGGCCGGTGCTGGTGTAAAAGCGAACCGGAAGTCAATGAACCAAAATTGCTTTTCGAAGTCCTCGTCCGCTATCGT